TTTGCTATGTCCAAAGCTATCTAATTAGCAATTAGTCTTTTTCAGGTATAAGTGTTGAATCAAATGTTGATATTTGTGTTGCCTTGCAACTAATGTAATTATATCTTCTTTTCTCAAAAAAGTTAATTATATCCAAAGATTCCCGATAATCACGCTCTTCATTCATTTCTTATGTCAATTTCACTTATACTATCTCCTAAATAATTTTTTATTTAATGCTATCATTTCTTGATTGGGCTTGTATCCTTGTAGCACATGCACTTGGCCATGAAAAACCCTAATAACATCATTTGTCAACTGCTCAACTTTTCAATATTCCATAGATAGATAGCTTGTCACAATATTAGTGCTGGAGCTTTTAAGACATATATAAAAAATCCACAACAAAGCTTCTTTACTTCAAGTGTGTGAATAAACACAATAAAACATAATCCGAGTATTGAGCAAGTAAAGGTGATTGAATTACCGCCAGGATCATTAGCAGCTATGACTCCATCCATGAAGCCTCCGCAACGTTCTCTACCAGCTTCTGAACCATTTACAATAAGTTGGGATGGGGACCCAAGATCCTTGGACCCTGAAAATGCATTGCAGGAACAAAATGAGATTGCAGAGCACACAACTGCAAATCTTTCACTGGCATTAGCTTAATAAATGGCTTCATTGGCAAATCTTTTTTCCAATCTTATTTTTATTGACTGTGCACTGTATCCTTATAACGCATAAAAAAAATTCATAACAGGACTATTGTATATTAAGCATGCGAGAAAATACAATAAAACATAATTCAAGTACCTAGTAAGTAAAAAGGTCATAGAATTACCATCTGGATCATTTGAAGCTATGACTTTGTGTCCATGTTGTTCCTTGCCAGCTTCCGAACCATTGGAAACATGTTGGAGTGGGGACACAAGACCAATGGCCCCTGAAACTGCACTAAAAAGAACTGAATGAGGAGATTGCAAAGAGCTGTTAAGCTTCCAAACCATTGAAAATAACTCAGGGTGGGGACACAAGATCCCTGGCCCCTGTAACTGCATTAAAAAGAACTGAAAGAGGAGATTGCAATGAGCCGCTAAGCTTCCAAACCATTGAAAATATATCAGGGTGGGGACACAAGATCCCTGGACCCTGAAACTGCATTTCCAGAACTGGATGAGAAGATTGCACAGCACATAACTGCAACTTTTTCTCAAACAAAGGATCTTATTTAAGCCCTTGATGATTTCCAACAGTAACAGAATATTGGAGTCACTATGCATATCAAAACTGGATAGAAGGATTAAGCACTCATAGTTCATGAGAAAACACATTCTCACTTGCATCTGGTTCCTCAAAAAACACTAAGATAATTGGAAACTTACTTCTCGATACAATGTATAAAGATAAATATTAAAAATGTTCAATTTGATCTAAATATACTTTGACTTTTTGGGAGAAACGCCTGTTGTGCGTTTCATCCTTAAAATATAAATTTCTTAGCAACACCATAACCAAGTCTTCCAAAAGTTAAATTGATCAGTGGAACAATTTTTTTATATCTGAAAA